GGGGAGAGCCTGCTGACACAGATGTGTGTACGCTGCCTCGTTCATCAGCCTCGTGGTGAAAATAAAATTACTCACGTCCACCGACAGGACTCGCCTGGAGCTCCGAGAAAAGGAAACGATCACGTGCAGGCCAGTTTTCACGTTAAACAAGCCTTGAAGGAGGCTGAGTTACAACAGCGGTCCGGACGCCAGGTCATCTGGTGAGCTTCAGAGCTGATTCGAGTCCAGGTCGCTCCAGTCCCAGTCCAACACTCAACCCAAACTCCACTGTGGCTATTTAATACTTCTTGCCACAGCTAAATCTGGCCCCAGGGGAGAATTCTGTCCCAGCTCTGGGAAACATGTTTTGCGTCCATGAAATTACTGTCCTCTCTGTCTCGTTCTCTTTGGCATTTTTGGGAAACGGTGATGTGCATGCATTAATCATGCTATGGAAGTTTAAGAAATCCAAATGAAACACCTTTCTCCCCCCCAATATTGTTAGCAGATATGGAAGATTCAGTATGAGGGCAAGTTGTATATAGTTCAGCCTTGGTGGATCCTTAACTGCTCCTGGCTTGAGAGTATTATTGATGTATCCGGGCTACTTTTGGGCAGGAACCACAGGAACTGAATTTCCTTGTTTTCTGTTTTTATTTAGAGCATTACCAATATATATATCTGTTGGAGACTTAAACAAATGGCAACACACTCTCACAAACTTTTTATGGAATTCTACTAAATCTAGGATAGATCGGAGAAATCTGAGCAGACCGGTGACTATAGGAGGATTAGGTATACCCTCATTATATCATTATTATCAAGCAACGGCTTTAACAACGGTGGTTCAAATATTACAAAATACACTGGGTGCGAAATGGATGCAGATAGAGCAATCATACGTAAGCCCATTTACTTTACAAGAAACCATTTGGATGTCTGAGACACAAAGACCTAAATCCATAGAACAAAATACGTTTCTGGCAGCAACACTTAAAATATGGGACCGGGGGGGAAAAAAGATGCTAGCTCCTAAGATCTCCCCTCTCACCACTTACACTCAACAACCCTGGTTCCCTCCAGGGAAGGAAAGAAGTGCTTTTGCAGCTTGGACGGCAAATGGCTTTCAGCGAATACAAGATCTTGTTGAAAAGGGGGAAGTCCACTCCAAGAAATACTTTGAAGAGAAAATAAACTCTACAATATCGTGGCTCAGATATTATCAAATAAAAAGTATGATAGAAGGGATAAAAAATACAGGGACTCTCACACGACCCAAACCAATTTTGAAAAAGTCACCAACAAGTCTTTGAACAGTTCAAAGGGACTTCTTTCAATAATGTACAAGATTTTATTTGATATTGAAAAAGAACAAAACATGTCTTACAAAGCTTCCTGGGAAAAGGATCTTCAAAGGGAAATAACACCGCAACAATGGCTATCTATTTGGGGTTCCAAAGCAAATAATTCAAGGATTTTTAATATTAGGCTGCAATTTTTCAAAATGTTCACAAGATGGTACCTTCCCCCAGTCTAACTAAAACATATGCACCGGAGATATAATTCGATAAGCTGGGAAGGATGTGGAAATAGTCATTTATATCATTGCTGGTGGTCCTGCTCCGAGATACAATCTTTCTGGGTACAGATACTGGAGGAAATCAATAAAATAACAGGCTAGAGCCGGCTATTATATTATTAAACTCAACCATCACAAAAGATAACCAAGAAGTATACATATCAGACCTCACTTCTACATTATTGGCTACGGCAAGACTGATTATAGCGGCCTCATGGAAATCTCCCAAACCTCCTACTATTCAGAATTGGCGTAATAAATGTTGGGATCATTTTATAATGGACAAGATTGCAGAAAAATATGAAGGGCAAGTGAGTAGTCATACAGGATCTCATACCAAATTTGTGCGCAGGTGGTTCCCTTTGATCACGTATTTCATGGAAAATGATCTACTACCCTCAAACCGTAACTATCTGGAATGGATATTTTAATTTACAGGTGTTTAGGCTGAGCTCTTATCATATAAGTTTTAGAAGGGAAAAGTAGATTAGACTGAGCACAAGGCTAGTTAAGTGCAATATACAGATACTGAGTTGAAATTGATTGAAAACACAATGTAATATATCTTTCAGTATGCATGTTTGTATTGTTTTAATTAAATAAAACTTTGAAGGATAAAAAAAAGAGTTGGCCATGCCCACTATAGCCAAAACCTCTGCATGGGTGGCTATAGAGGGAAGGCCTGGAGAGTGACCCCCCCCGACTCTGAGGCAGGCAGGCCCCCCTGCCCTGGAAGGTTCGGGGAGGCATTTAAATGCCTCCCCGTGCCAGCCTGTCCAAGGGCTGGCTTGCCCGGGCTCCCAACAGCCCTGGGGTTCCCAGGCAAGCCAAGGGAAATAACGGGGTGTGGCCTAATATGCTAATAATATGTGCTATCAGGGGCGTGGCCTATTCTGCTAATGAGTTCCTGCTGGGCTTTTTCTACAAAAAAAGCCCTGCGTGTGGCTAAAATTACTGAAGTTCTAGGTTGTAACTTGGGGAGCTTGAGAGCCACACAGATATGAACCTGCCCTATGCTGAGTCAGCCCGTTGGTTGGTCCTTGTGTTCAGCCCTGTCTTCTATGACCAGCAGCAGCTCTCCAGGGTCTCAGTCTGACATCACTCATATTACCTCCTACTTGATCCTTTTACCTGGAGACTGAACCTGGCATGTTCTGCATGCAAAACAGATACACCACCACTCAGCCCCCCATGCCTGTACTTACCACATGCTTCCCGCCGCCCCCCCCCCGTGCTCCTCCTTCAAATATTGAGATTATACTTTTTATATTGGGATTAATTATGCCTACAATACAACATAGTACTAATTACATAGGATAATCACCATCTTTCATGCACAGCTGGTATGGTTTTAGAGGTCCTCTCTCCACTTTCCCTTTCTTTCAAGGTAATTTCTCTCATAGATTTGGTGCTAGTTTTTCTTTGGGTACAGGAAAGAGGCACAACCTGTGCAATGGGTGGAAGGTTTTTGCACTCCTATTTCACCGTCTCATCCGAATGTGTACTTAGGCACATGCAGTTTGGTGGCATAACAAGACACTATACATTTTATTGTCAACATCTGAACTCCTTGTCATGGCAACCATTTTTAATGGCCATTAAAAAGAACAGCTTGAGAAGTGCCACACTTTCTAGTTTATGGCGATTACCTACCTAAGGGATGTCTTGGGAGGGGACATCTGAGAGAGGCGTGTCCTGGCAACAGGCTTTGATTTGCAGTACAATTTCTGAAGAGGCCACCACAATATGGGCTCCTTTCAGTGTAAAAAGGTAAAGGTTCCCTTGCTCGAAAGCCAGTCGAATCCGACTCTAGGGTTGCGGTGCTCATCTCTGTTTCAAAGCCAAAGAGCCAGCGCTGTCCGAAGATGTTTCTGGGGTCACGTGGCTCGCGTGACTAAACACCAAGGCACACGGAACGCTGTTACCTTCCCACTGAAGTGGTACCCATTTATCTACTTGCAATTTCTTACTTTCGAACTGCTAGGTTGGCAGGAGCTGGAACTAGAGATGGGAGCTCACTCCATCATGCGGCATACTCGGGTCTCGAACTGCTGAACTACCGACCTTCCACAGCCTGCAGCGTCTTAACCACTTGAGCCACTGCAGCTTTCAGTGTACCTCTGAGGAAATGGAGATCCTGGGGTTGCTGAAGTTTGAGAACCGACAATCTGTCTGAACTTCAGTCTCTTCCCACCATCAGGGCCGGCTCACCCACTAGGCGAACTAGGCATTCGCCTAGAGTCCTGGGCCCTGGATGGGGCGCCGAGCTGTGCCTCCCCCCCACCAAAAGCCCGCGAGCAGCTTTCCAAGTGTCAGCACTTCACTAATTGGGGAGAGGCATCTGGTGAGCATCCCCCGCCTGGAGACAGGATCCCCCCCCCCTCCCAAACTGCCTTCAGAAGCGGAGCACGGGAGAAATCTCTCTTCCATCTTGGAGGGCGCTGCAGGAACATGTGGAGCGTGCTCGCTGGGTCTGAAAGCTGCGGAGGGGGAGGAGGCGGTGGTGGCGGTAGCAAAAGGGTGGCTGGCTCCAGAGGTTTCCAGGCTCCACCGGGAGGTTGGCATCTGCGCCACAAGGCAGCCTCGCCTAGGACGCAGAAACACCTCGAGCCAGCCCTGCCCACCATATTCCAATCCCCTGGTCTTCTACAACTTCACCACCACTTCCCTGGTATAGCCAGCCTTACACAGCTGAGGCTTTAAACCTTTGCTGTTAGTTGGGAATAACCTCCATTGAACACACTGCAGTCCCATGGCTCTTATTCCGAGTTCCCTTCTTGGGCTGCCCATTTATTTCTGGCTCGGATTCCAGGTGGTGGGACTTTACAATTCTTCGGGTCACATAGTTGAAGGACTGCCTTCCCTGCACGTTCCTGTACAGTAGCTTTATTCTTTTCAGCTGAGTTTGTCAATATCCCTCACCCAATTGAAGCTACATTCAGCAATAGGCTGGACTTGAACTATTTCAGTGGACACCCATGTCTCTGGAAGAGGTTGGGAGACCTCCTACCCGCCTAGTGATACTACAAAATGGATCTGCCCGAGAGAACGTTTACAACGGTCTGAACCTGGGCAGAGAAGGAATACCCACAGGTGGATGACATAAAGTGATTTTAGACTAGCCTGAACATTTTTATATCTGTCATATTTAGTATTTGTTTCATAAAGTTGTATTTACATTCTGAACCATCTTGGGGGATGAGCTGCTGAGGAGAAAGGCACATAAATATTTTTTTAAAAATACATTTAAAGGAATGGAGGGTTGTGAGTTTTCCATTTATTTTTTCTCTGGTGCATTTGCTGTTTGGTATACAGAAGGAAAAAAAACATCAGACGCCATATTTATTGCTCACACCCAATTAGCAGCTGTATACGTCACTTACGATTTATTCCCCATATTATATGAATGCTAAGCTTACAGTGGACAGGGTCTGTGTACTGCGCCTGCCACAGAGTGTGTGGTGAGAAAAGAGGACTTAGGACCATAAGGCACCTCAGGGCTGGGGAAAGAGCAGCAACTTTCAGGCACAGTGGAGCCCCAGCACACTGGTAAGGAAGGGTCTCAGGCACAGGAATGAACAACTACCCAAGGAATTCAGTCAGGTCCTCCTAAAAGCAGCTGGTTACATTTGGGCACGATGAGAAGAGGGAGCGAAGCAGGAGCTCCAGTTTCAAGGCACAAGGGAAGAGAGAGGAGCTCAGAGACCCAGAGTCTGGGGGCTCACGCTGCTGCCCAGCACTGCATTGCCAGTCTTCACGCAGTCCGCTAGCCGAGACCCTACAAGACACAGAGAAAGGGTTACAGAGAAAGTACAATGTACTCAGGCTGCATTTTAGCAGCTCTCTGGGAGGGTTCTGCAAGTCTCTCTTTGACTACAAGAAAACTAAATCCTGTTCAAGGTTTAACGCTCTGGTGTGTGCAGAAGTTCTTATGGATTTTCATGTAAAGTGTACGGATCTGTGTACTCTAGTACAGGAGAGCGGGAGGAACTCCTTCAAGCACTGAACAGGAAACATTATATACACAAGAGTCATGAAATATCAGATGTCATGGCTCCTCCAGAGAGGTTCAGGGGGGAAACAAAGATGGGGGACGCTGCTTCCTCAAATCCACTGAGCTCCTATCTGCCCCTGAAAGAACAGGCCACACATATCCACCAGGCCGCTGCCACCACCTATCACTATGAGATACCAGATAGAGCCTGAGAGGCCCACTTTTGCCGCTCTTTCTCTCACACACAAAGGCCTGGCAGACATAAAACCAGTCCTTTTAAACTTAAGAGAACCTGTGTGCAGTGTTCCCTCTAAGCTGAGTTAGTGTGAGCTAGCTCACAGCTTTTTAGCCTCCAGCTCACACATTTTTGTCTCAGCTCAGGAAGGAGGGCTCCAGAGCAAACTAATTTATGCAGCAGCCAAATTGCTTGCTCACAACTTTAATGCCAGTAGCTCACAAATTAGAATTCTGGCTCACAAGATTCCACAGCTTAGAGGGAGCTTTGCCTGTGTGGTCTCCAGATCACTCAACACAGTGCGTTTTACATATATTTTTGGGGGAACAAAATTAAGAACAGAAGGGGGAAAGAGCCCTGTATTTACCACCCTCTTTGCCCCCCTGTATTGTTGCCATACAGCCCATTCCTCCTAAGGGGGTACTTGCAGGTGAGAGGAGGAAAAAAAGAAAAAGAAAATGGAAGGAGTTCATATACATGTGAGAATGCACAACAGAATGCAACAGAAAGCTTATGCAACTTGACTCCACTGATGCTGTAGCTTAATGGCTTACAGTATACAGATCCTGAGCTCTGTCTACCTGAGCTCTGTCTACCGAGCCTGCTTAGCTTCCGAAATCTTCCTGGTTGCTGACCTTCTATTTCCCATTTGGTTGGGGTTGCCTCTGTGACCGAGAGAGAGATCACGGAGTCATAGTAGATAACTCACTGAAAATGTCGAGACAGTGTGCGACGGTAATAAAAAAGACCAGCGCTATGCTGGGGATTATTAGGAAGGGAACTGAAAACAAATCAGCCAGTATCAGCATGCCCCTGTATAAATCGATGGTGCGACCTTATTTGGAACACTGTGTGCAGTTCTGGTCACCACACCTTAAAAAGGATATTATAGCATTGGGGAAAGTGCAGAAAAGGGCAACTAGAATGATCAAAGGGTTGGAACACTTTCCCCATGAAGGAAGGTTAAAGCGCTTGGGGCTCTTTAGCTTGGAGAAACGACGACTGAGGGGTGACATGATCGAGGTTTACCAGATGATGCATGGGATAGAGCAGGCAGAGAAAGAAGTCCTTTTCTCCCTTTCTTACAATACAAGAACTTGTGGGCACTCCACTAAATTGCTGAGCAGTCAGGTGAGACCAGATAAAAGGAAGTCCTTCTTCACCCAAAGAGTGATGAACACATGGAATTCACTGCCAAAGGAGGTGGTGGTGGCTACAAGCATGGACAGCTTCAAGAGGGAATTGGATAAACATATGGAGCAGAGGTCCATCCGTGACTATTAGCCACAAGGTATAGATAGGGACTCTGGGGCAAGTGATGCTCTGTGTTCTTGGTGCTTGGGGGGCGGGGCAACAGTGGGAGGGCTTCTAATGTCCTGGCCCCACTGCTGGACCTCCTGAGGGCACCTGGTGCTTTTTGGCCACTATGTGACAGAGTGTTGGACTGGATGGGCCACTGGCCTGATCCAACATTGGCTTCTCTTATGTTCTTACCTGACATGGCCCTATCCTCTTCCCTTGCTTGGTCCTGGGAAAGGCAATAGTGACTCTCCCCTTCAGGGATTTTTCAGTCACACCCCCTTCCATGGAAAGGCGCTTTGTTGCCACTCTGGCTGGTGGTAAGCAAACCAGTGGGTTACTTTTGGAGCAGAAACCCTACCCCTAGCTGTGCCCCCTGACCCGCTCGTGTAACAATATCTTCAGAGGATACTAGACTGGTACACAAAAGAATATTTTCGGAGTTCATATGGGCTGTAAATTTATTTCCAGGGGCACGAAAGTAGTCATTTTTAGCCAAGGAATCTTGGGTCTTTGCTCCAAGGAGACCATTCTCTTCCTATGCATGAAAGAGGCCCTTACTGTAAGACCTTCTTTGAAGTCCAGGACCATAGAATGCCATAGAATACAGGGAAAAATAGCACTGTGACGACCTCCTATCTGGGGAGGTCTGGTTTGCCTTTAAAAGTTCTTATGTTTTTACTCTGTAGGGTATTCTCGCCGCCACCAGGGAAATTTAAGGCTTTCCCAGCCTCTTACTATAATATATTTCTTCTTCTGGTTTGGTAATGTGGCCCAGGGTCTAGGCATTCATGAAGAACTATGTGTTATTTCCTGAGGAATTTCGTTCAGAACTGTTATCTTAAATAAAAGTAGATTTATTTGCCGTTTCACACACTTTTCTCTTCACTGACAGGGCTCTGGGCATGTCACTATGTAACAATAGTTTCCTTAGGCCATATATGTTAACTGTTTCTTATACATTCAACTTCAGCTTATATTTGTTTCAACACAGAACTGCTGGTCACTTTCTTTCATGCCCAGCTCTTAACTCTCAGACCTTAAAAGAACAAACTGCTTAACTCTTTTACTAGACAGAACTTATAACAACTGCTTTCACACAGCACTCTCTGCTGACTCTGTTTTACTCCACAGTCATCTCACTAACAAACTTTCTCAACTGTCTTCATCAACTGTCATACCTAACAGTCACACCTCAAAGACCTTCAAATCATCCACACAGCATCCATTCCAAAACCCCTCCCCTCTCTGTCACTCACCAATCACACAACTTGCCTGTTCCAGCATTCTAGATTGTCCCACACAGCCATGCCAACCAACTTTTAAACACACACACAGTAAAACATGGAATCGTTACAAGCACCCTTGCAAACTCACTGCCTAAAATGTCAGAAAGAGAAAATACCATCTTAAAATGAGGCCCAGGGCCTAGTGAAGCCACTTCCATTCAGACACCAGCTGGCCACACTTTGTTTCCCTTAGGAGAAATGGGCTGTCTGACAACAATATGGGGGGA